AGGACAGGGAACATCGAGGAAAATGAAAATTAGCTCATCCCCCTAGCTTTTAATCTCCACCCCTAAGGCTTAGTCCCAATTTTAACAAAAAGAATGTGCAATTTCTAATGCACGGCCACCAGAATGCCCCCTATCTTGCGATAGCGCCCAAATAAAAACTTACAGAATCACCAAAAAACTAATGGCATATACATACATAATTACAGTAAAAACGCAACAATAATGCACTTAGTGATTTCAGGAAAAAAAGGGGAACAGCGCCCTTGATAAATAGTTTGTGCCGCCTACCGTAATCGAAACTTCTGCAGAGTAGAAAGGTGTGGAGTGGGTTTGAAAACAAAGGCAAAATGGTTCGCGCACCTCGAAGCTCCCTCTGCGAAAATTGCGATCACTCTAGGCGGCACGACTTACTACCACTTCCCCCCCCCCTCCTCCTCCTTTCCAAAACATTTCCGAGAATGATGATCTAGAGGTTTCGTCCTGGCATATGCAGTGTATTAGCTTGTATACTTTTGAAGTTTATAGGGCTAAAAAAGATGTCAAGGTAATTCTGAATCTGTCTCGGCTCCTCTATCGGTTGTTGCTGCTCAGAAACGCACGGCTTTCGAATAACACCCACACCAGCTCCTGATCGTCTAGAAACACGAGTTACTTTGTCAGCCTGTAGTGGGCTAGAGAAGTTCCAAAAGATCAACTGAACAAAACAAAGGACACAAAAATGCTGAAGCTAACCGATCTTTTGTGTTAATGTGATTTTTCCAAAAGTTCAACTCCTTGTCGTACACTTCAATGTATGCATCACCCACAGCATACAGCTTTTCATTGACGACGGCCAGCGTCATCTGCGAACGGAACCTTTTTAGTTTTTGCCATTTCGTGCTGAAAAATGACGGTAGGAAGTGCAAACCCACAGTATTTTCCTTGTTGTTCAAAGCAGCCACTTCGATCCATGCATTGGCGACAGGGTTGTATTTTTCGGCCGAGCTCAATGCGGTGGTTCCCTGCTGCCCTCCTGACTATGTACAAATGACCGTCGAACATTGCAGATCCCGAATGTGATCGACGTGTTGACATCGGACAAACATCTTCCCATTTTACAACAACACGAGGGTCAAGCCTGAAGAGATAACGCGCGTCGGCAACAACATGGGCCGTATATGTGTACGCACTTCCCAGCCAATCCGGACAGTGTGGGCCATATATGATGCACACCCGAAATCTATTTGTGTGTACACAACTTTTTTACGAGTAGTTCATATTTATTTTGCAGATTGATTCTACTCCGACATGACATAAATGGCGTAGTTCAAGAGTGTATTGCTTAGCACAATTTTCTGAGATTTCAAACTTTCTAGTTGCTTTTTCAGTAATATGTAAATAAAAAGAGCAAGAGAAGCTGAATACAGCAGCCTATAGAAGGCTATGCGTTTCGGCTGAATCGAACTTGCGTGTGTTATCCGCTGTAGGATGTTTCGAAAACTGGAAAAGAAAAGCAAAAAGGCATCTTAAGGGGGGGGGGGTGGTGGGGAAGGGGAGCGAAAAAAAGCAAAAAGCTCCATGTAAAACACTGAAGTTTCCCTTGTGACGTCGACCATGGTATAACGGAGAGACTCAGCGTTGCGAGGAAAACGCGGAAGGGCCCAACGCAATGTCGCGATTGATAAGGATGGCAGCGCTGACGGCGGAAATGGCACGGCCACCTCGATCTTGTCGAGCATTTTTGAGTCGGATGGCGTCACACGACTTCTGTGCTTGGTGACCCCACTTTCACACTTCTGAGAGGGACTGGCTCTTGGCTCCTAATACCGACTTATAACTTTGATATCTTGTACTTGTTCACTATTAACATACGTCTTTTCGGTCAGAATTCCACTACTTGACCTCCAGAAAAAGCATTAGCCGTAACTGAAAAGATTTAGAGTGATCCATTTTTTATACACTTACAGCTCAAAACCATGCGTTTCCGCAGTGGCGCTCGCCGGCCCCGCGTCAATGAAGCCAATACTTTGCACCTTGGGCGGTTAAAAGGACGAATTCAACGAATGTGATATGGGAAAAATCGATATTCTAGAAGAATGCAGCGGTCGGTTTGAAGGGACCCGCGGAGCTCCTAAGTGTGCGTGCGAACTGAAGCACAATTTGCACAGGAGGAGTTGACCTCGTTGACCTATTAAGGTTTAATCCCGCCGCGGCTGGTCAGTGCACGCCCACCGATCATCTGATCACTCGCCGCAGGTCTATACGTGGTGAGTGATTAGATAGGTGAGAGAGCGTAGCGTTGAAGAGGGCACAGCGATGATAGTCGCATCAATGCTCAAATCAACGGGCAAGGAAGTGGTCCCATTTCTCAGGTTCTGGGCCGTTTCGCATGGTTTTTCCTTCTTTAGTGTACCACTCACCATCGCTAAGTTAATTTGAAATGGGGTTGCCTTTCAGCGTGAAATCGTCCTTAAATGGTACCAAACTTGTGCA